CCGGAGAGAAGGGGGACCCAGGGGACCCAGGTCCTGAAGGCAGGAACGTGAGTACCAGCTCTTGTGCGCCCACCCACCTGTGGGCACCCACTACCCCATGTACCCCATTGCCCCACAGCCACCCTCACCCCAGGGGTACCCACCATCCCGTGGGACCCACCACCTCACAGGTCCCTTGTCCCTTCCTACCCTCGCCCCCTCCCTCTCCCACAGGGCAGCCCCGGAGCAGCAGGGAGCAAGGGTGACCGTGGGGAGCCGGTGAGTGATGTGGGGCCACGCGCCTGACCCCCACCCCGCAGCCAGCCCTGCCCTCCCTGGGGCTGTGCCAGCTCACCCCGACCCACTTCCCTCACCCTTCTTTCAGGGGCCTCCTGGACTACCAGGACGAACCGTAAGCTCTGCCCCCACCCCTCTCCTTGCCCTTGGGCTGGTGCCTGGCCCTGTGTGCTCTGACAGACTCTTTCTGCCCCACAGGTTGACGTGGGGCTTGGAGGAGCTGGGGAGAAGGGTGAAAAGGTAACGTATGGGTAACCTCAGGATGCTGGCAGGGGGGTGCCCTGTGCTGTCCCCCGCTGGGCACTGCCTGTGCACTGGGATCCTGGTGCCCCGAACCCTCCCTGCCCAAAACAGCCCCTGCCACACAGGGCCAGTGCACCACAGCTGAGCGCTGTGCGGGGCCAGGCAGCACGGGCTGGTGCTCCTGCCCAGTGCCCGGGCAGGAGGTCCCTGCAGGACTGAGGTCCTCGAAGGAGCCAGCATGCCCGTGGCTCCCCAGCCCCACAGGGATCCTGCGGCTCTCCCCCACGCTCTGGGTGTCCTGCTTTTACTAGCCAGCTCAGGCTCGGGGCAGTTTTGGCCATGTGTTGTGCTCTGTGCTGGATGGCATCATGGTCCCCAGGCATGGCTCAGCTGGCTCCTGGCTCAGCAGCACTGCACGTTCCATTCTTCTATGATCTGGCCACCCAGGAGCTGTGTTGAGCCCAGCAAACTCTTTTTTCACCCTGTGCCTCTATTTTGAGACCTTTGCTATTATCGTGCCCTTAAACCATGCAGCATAAGCAGAGGTGGTCAGCATGGACTCTGGCACGAGCTCGGCACAGTTTGTGCTGGCAGCAGGGCACTGCCCTCTAACCACCATGCCCTTCCCTGGCAGGGGGACCCTGGGGACCCTGGCGAGGATGGCACGAAGGGTGCCCGGGGCGACGCTGGCTCCCCCGGTGTGCCCGGAGAGAGGGTAGGTGCTGGTGTCTGGTGCGGGAGGCGGTGGGACAGCAAGATGGGCAAAGCTGTGGGAGAGAGCCAGGGATCTTGGTGTGCAGAGGGCGATGGGCGAGCGCCCAGCACACCCTCCTTTCCTCCCATGCCCCACTGCTGAGTGTGTCTCTCTCTTGCAGGGCGCGGAGGGTCCCCGTGGTCCACCCGGTGCACGGGTGAGTGCCCCCTTCCCCAGGGGGTGCTGAGCAGGGGGCTATGCCCTGCTTGGCCCCCAGCCGGGGGGAACTATGCTTACTCCTCTTCCCACACTGCAGGGTGATCCCGGGGACCGAGGCCTGCCCGGAGAGAAGGTGAGGGGGCTGAGGGCTGGGGGCTGCCCCATGGCATCCCCATCCTGCCCCATGGCTCCAGCCCCCCTGCCCTGATCTCTTGCAGGGACACCGTGGCCCACCGGGGCTGGATGGCCGCAACGGGCTGGAGGGCAAGCCTGGGCCCTCGGGCCCCAGCGGGCTGCGGGTGAGCCTGAGCCAGGCA